AATTATCTCCCATGCAGATGGGGGGGGGGATTGTGTGCTGTGTGTGGGAGTGACGTGCCTTGTAACTAGTGATGTACCAAACGGTTCGCTGGCGAATAGTTCCCGGTGAACATAGCGTGTTCGCGTTTGCCACGGCGGGCGAACATATGCGCGGTTCGACCCGCCCCCTATTCGTCATCATTGAGTAAACTTTGACCCTGTACCTCACAGTCAGCAGACACATTCCAGCCAATTAGCAGCACACCCTCCCTAGCAGACCCTCCCACCTACTGGACAGCCTCCATTTTAGATTCATTCTCAAGCTGCATGCTTAGTGAGAGGAGGGAAAGTGTAGCTGCTGTTGATTTGATAGGGAAATGGATAGCTAGGTTAGTGTATACAGTGTCCACTACAGTCCTGAAGGACTCATCTGATCTCTGCTGTAAGGACAGCACCCCAAAAAGCCCCTTTTAGGGCTAGAACATCAGTCTGCTTTTTTTTTTCTGTAATGTAATTGCAGTTGCCTGCCTGCCTGCCAGCTTCTGTGTCAGGCTCACAGTGGATACTGTGCCCACTTGCCCAGTGCCACCACTCACTCACTGGTGTCACAATAGTGATACCGGAGAAACTGACGGAAGCAAAGCACAGAGGGATGGACACAGGTTTCTTCAGGAAGGAAGAGATTCTTTATTGGATCACCGATCGGGACTCAGAGGGACTAATGTCACCAAAAATACAGCAAGTTCTGAGCCCTGAACAATAGTGCAAGCTCCCTATATAGGCACATAACTCCTCCCATTAATAGCTACACCCACATATACCTTTAACCAATCAATGAGCAGAATATATACTTGTACATCTAGTCAAACCACATGGCCCATCCAAGACAAAGGAAATAAGTGCAATTTCAGTTCCTGCATTCCTGCACATGCTCAGTACACTGATGACAGTATCCTAGCTACATGTAGCTAACCAACTGACACAACATACACATATGCCACATGGAGATTTTGGCCTACTAAATTTTAACCATGCTGGAATCCCATCACATTCCCCCCTTTTGATGCCTCTGATATAACATTATTCCAGATGCATCACCAATCACAGTTTTACCTACATCTCTCAAGTAGCCATTGAACCAGAGTAGACCTTGTAAGCATCTTAAAAACTCCTTCAACATTCTTCATCCTGAATATATTCTCTTCGGGCTAGGGGATCATATCTTCCAGACAGCCATTACATGAGCCGCTGTCTTTCTCTCTCTAGTACTCTCTATAATACTACGTAGGGACCTTACCACTAGTGGAATTAGACAGGGCAGGAGGAGGCACAAAAAAAATATAATAAATTCTACTCCTCCTACTAATGTCTTAATTCCTCCAAGCTGCTCATACCAACTTCCAAACCAACTACTTAGGTTATACCCATTCCAGACCTGAGTAGGTACATGCTCAAATTTAACCATGTGGCTTGTAAGTTCAGCCACTGCCTGCCCTTCATCATCTATGTGCAGACAACAGTTACTTAGATTAAACTTTCCGCATACACCTCCTTCTACTGCTAGTAAGTAATCAAGGGCTAGCCTATTCTGGTATATGGCTGATCACATCTTGGTATTTTGCTTAGCTAGAAGATTAAGCACTTGAGCTGTCTCATTAGTAATAATCTCAACTACCGCCTGTAGTCTAATAATGCGGTTGAGCATATATAATCGGAGTTCTATATCCATAAGTGCCATCTTCTGCCCAAGTAGCAGGTCCATAATAATTAATAATACGTTGAGGGGGCCACTCATTATCTTCCCAGCTACCTATATTCAAGGATGCTCTCTCCCTTTTATGATTTACATCGTAAACCTTAACTCCCAAGGTCTCTCCTGTTTCGATTGGCAACAAGAAGAAGGATGGCTTTGGCATACCTAATACACATGCCCCTTCCCAATCTTGTGGTAACTCCGAATAAGTTTTATTACCACAAATCCAGTATAAATTTGCTGGGGCTTTCCAACTAGATGTAGCCGATAAGTCAAACCATACCTCCTTTAAATGAGTGTAATTGGCAAACGGATTAGTAGGTTCCGAGACATTTGAAGCTGACCACCAAGTAGTATTTTTAGTATTAACATTATAGGCTTTTTGTCCCAAGCAGTTAGCTCACCTACAGACGTGTTATACATTGTCCCTTTCCTGGCTATACAAACATGACCTATAATGGAGGGTTTTAACCACCATTCCAATTTACTTCTAGTACTTACTTGATGATCAGACTGGAAAGGTATCTGTTGTTCATATGTCTCAGAGCCAGGGTACCATATTTCCTTTGCCTCCCATGGCCACTGGTCTCCCATATTAGTACCTCCACACACATAGCAATTAGTTACATTAAGACTACCTGCAATACCCTCAGCCAAATCAATAAATAGGTTGTTAACATTATGGGGAATTTTATCCTCAATACTCATCTCCTCATAGAAGGAATGAGAAACCTGATGAGTTTGAGTTGCCACTGTCTCAGTTTCAAGACCTACATATATTATTGTTCCTGAATTTACTCCTGTGCCATATATTTGGAACCCAAACAGACCTCCAAACCTGTCAATAAAGTACTGCAGATTGGAAATGGTCATGTGAACGGGGTTACACACATAGTTTTACAGTATGGTGTGGTAGGCAACCTTTGGATAATCATATCTTGATCCACTGTTTTTCCCAGGTTGCCCAACCTACACATGACAAATAGGGGCAGAAGTTAGTCTCTATTTGGGCAATCAGGATCAGTAGATCTTTTACTGGGACATAAGTATTTATCATTAAACCCATAAGTTCGTTCCCATTTAAGATTACCACATACATTCCAAAGTCTTCCACTACCCGAAATCGCCTTACATGCATCAAATAGTAGAATACCCGCGGAATGTATGGTGCTTATCACAGTCCTATTTATTAATGTCCCCTGGGAGTTACTATTCCGAATTACCAACCAAATTGTATGGGGTTGGAAATGGGGATCAAAACATTTAGACTCTCCTGATATTGGCTTGCACACACTATAATCAATATCCAAATATCTACATTTAGATACAGATCCCTTACATTCATACTGTGAGTGCCAGATGAAAGTTTGGGATATTTGGTTACCTGTTTTAGTAGTCTTAATGCAACTATCGCAATTCGGTATGTCTATACTCCTACCTTCCTGAAAAATCATAAAAATACTAAGACACAATAAAACACATTATTCCTGAAATCCTCATTTTTCTTCAACCGTGCGATGGCCTCTCAGCTTCCCGATTGTGAGGGCTGCAAGGATGTTGTTCTTCTGATCCTCACTTTCCTTCACAGAGATCCCTTCAAGATACTCTGGCTATGACACGTAGGCAGGTGGTCAGGCTTTATTATGGCCGTCAAAACACCTACTTGATGATCTTTGTAGACTTTTAATTAGAATGTCTCGATATCCCCTCGTCACTCCGACTGAGTTGCACGCTTCAACCGGGTCCTGCAAGGATTCTCAGGATCTGGAGTAGTTTGCCAAGAGTCTGCTGCTGGTTTAACCTTAGAATGATGAATCCAAGGAGTCACTTCCGCCACCTTTACAGCTGTTGGGGTAGATAAAAGAACAACATACAAAGGCTAACAGGATACACCCCGAGCTTTAACTCAATATGTATTGGTGGGATATTACGAGCAAGTCCTGGAGGATTATTTTCTTCCCATACTCCTGGAATGTCAAATAAGGATTCATCACTCTTAGGGTTAACACTTGTCACTATGGAATAGAAGCGTCATTCTTCTTCCCTTGGCACCGATATCGCCATTATGCCTGGTAATCCCTTAAACTTCAGAGATGTTAATCCATTAGGTAAAAGGTTATCTGAGTTTAAAGCTTCGATAATAGATCTCGTCCTAAAAGTTGAATCGGACACTCTGGCATATATAGGAACTAATGCTTCACCACAGAATGTTCAGCACCTGTGTCGATCATGAAAGAACTTCTCTTTCCCCCTATTGCTACATCGACCATAGGCTACGCTCGACCAAGTGGGATGGAGCCCAGTCGGTATCAATAGTCTTCCATGATAGTGTCAGCCAGACCCACAAAATCTCTATCCTCTCTTTCTCTAGGTCTCTGTGTGGGTGGATAGTATCTGTCTCCTTGAACACTTCCTCTACTATTCCCACCATTCCCTCTAAAACTTCCTCTTACTCTATAACTACCACTATAACCTCCTCATACCCTTCTCTCTCCTTGTCTATCACCTTCATACTGCTCTCTCTGTGGACACTCACTCTTCCAATGTCCCTCCTTTCTACAATACGCACATTAATTCCTACTTAAAGTCCCTTGCTCAGCCTATTCTCGTCTCCTCTATTCACTTCCCTGTCTTTCTACACTTAAGATAGCTACCGCTAGCATATCTGCCTTTTTCCTCATTTTACGTTCTTCCTCCATCTCCCTATTCATATATACTGTATTTGCAATCTCCATTAGCTGTATTATGGACATCCCTACAAATCCCTCTAATTTTCTTTAATTTCCTTTTACTATCACCTTGGGCCTGGCTGACAAATGCTGAATTAATCATCCTAGAATTCTCAGGAGCCTCTGGATTAAAGGGAGTATACAACCTATTTGACTCAAGCAGTGTCTAATATGGGACTTCGGCAAGGCTGCTCAATAATAGGTTCCAGTCTACGGGTAGTAAGATAAGTGTAAGGGGGTGAGCTAATTTTATTAGTCGGCATTTGGTGGATGAAAAAACGTTTTTGTTTAAAGTGTTAAACCAAAAACCTACCAGTAGGTGTCACCAGAGGGTAATTGTATCAAAATAATCTTTATGGGTCTAATAAGAAAACTCAACTTTTAATATATTTATACATAAAATAAAACCTTATAGCAATAAATATATTAAAATAGGGTAAGCAATCCTACATCTATCTGTTATAAACAATGTATTATCAATGTAACTCCCGAAGATGGCCAGTAGGTGGCTTAGAGTGCCTCCCTAAAGTCAAATGAAACAAATAGACTTTAATTAATTATGTCCTATTTTATTATTACTTATTTTAATCAATGTCCACCCTGCTAGCTAGGCTTGATTAAATCTTTAGTTCTAAGGTAAATTAAACATTTCAGTTTGTAGTTTAGTAAAAGGGGACATTTTGGACAAAGCTGGGAGGGGCCCATCCAGTAACTAAAAAAAACCAATATACCATCTGATACCATTGATCATTGATTAGGGGGAGGGGTAGTACAGAAATACAAGAGTTTGAAACACAGGAACAGATAGGTATGTGGGTAGGCGGGGACAGTAGAGCAGGGGAGTGCAAATACTGATTATACCAGCCAGAAATGGGCGTGGCTAATCTGGCTCTGGAGGATGTTTGGGGGGTTGGTAATCAGATGCCAGGGGGGGAGGGGATGTCCAAAGCAGTTGTAATTAAGTCCTTAGTTCTGACCACCATGTGGCTACATTGTTTCCCATATGACACAGTTTAATTCACCAAGGCAACAATCAGTTTCCAACAGTCAATATATAGAAACTGATCACAGAATTCCAGCCTACTAGTTACAGCCACATGTACACTCTGCACTAAATTTAAGTGAAGACTGCTACATGGAGGCCATGCGGCCACCAGGACAAGCTACTCCCTACTTTTTTTTTTAAACATACAAGACAAAAGACTAACAGCCAAGTGAATCAGATTATTTCAACAGAACGTCTGATTCAAAAAGCTGTACAAATATACACACAGTTTCAACAGTCACACCAATCTCCTTATCACCAGCAACACATTGCGCAGTCACTAGGCCCAAACACACACACAGGATCCTCACATGCTCAACAATATCACGACGTCGCACACACGAAATTAAATCAAAAACCCACCAAAGACTATACACTTATCAATGTAACTATTATTCAAACCATCTATCCACGCTATTAATCCATATAAACTAACCGATCACATAACATTTCAACAAATTCATCTCTACAATTATCTGTACTATAAATCAACTTTTGACTAACCAACTATATCACATTCTAGTAACCTCATCTTTACAGTCAGTGGTTATGGTACAGTTAGTAAGTGGTTATAATACAGTTTTAAAGTCACAGATCAGTTAGTAACAGTTATGGTATTATACATTTAACATAAAACAGCAATTGTTAGTAATTTTTACACAATGTCAGTGGTTATGGTACATGTCAGTAGTTATGGTACCGTGCGCTATTTTACAGTTATACACACAATTTACACTCCCACTAGACAGCAGAGCTCTAACTTTCTAGTAGGACATACAAGTTAACCAATTCACCAACTACAATATATTTAACAACATTTACAATAATCCCAACTAAACTATTGGCCAGTACCTTGAATAGACTACCTAAAACTATATACACCCGTTTTGGTTAGCCACACTGCCCAAGCACCACATATAGCGAACTAGAGGGCGGAATTTACAAAATTGCCCTTCTAGTCTATTTACTCTATCAAAAGTCTAGTGGGTTCCAAATTTACACGCCTTCCCACTTAGCCAAGATAGGTTGAGAGCTAGCGAACCGAATTTACACAGGCGCCGCTTAGTCTCCCGGTCCCTCCGACCTAGCGAACGTAATATACACCCTAGAACGCTAGTCTAGACAAGACACCGGTGTCCGGCTAGGGCTATTTACACAGGACCCCGCCTGACTAACCAGATCAAACGGTCTTACTAAAGAGCGTTCGATCGAGCGGTGCGCCTTCGCTCCTTCCCTCCGACAGAGGGGGCAGATTCCATACACAGATTTAAACCCCTTTTGGGCCTACCGCACAATCGGTATACCCCTAGTGGGTCTGCCGTCTAAAACAGCAGTTGTCTTACCTCCTCGTTCCTGAACCTGAGTTCACACTCATCGACGGGGACACCCCAGCACTTCTTACGTAGAGGCCGATGATCTCCTGGACAACAGACCAGTGGCGCCGAGACGAAGGGAGGTCCACGCAGAAGTTCAGGGGTGCAGCCGTAGAGAACGTGGGCAAAGATAGACCGTCTCACGCCTCTGCCTCTCAGCTACCGTTGAACGATGAGTTTCCCAGCCAATGCACCAAATGATACCGGAGAAACTGACGGAAGCAAAGCACAGAGAGATGGACACAGGTTTCTTCAGGAAGGAGGAGATTCTTTATTGGATCACCGATCGGGACTCAGAGGGACTAATGTCACCAAAAATACAGCAAGTTCTGAGCCCTGAACAATAGTGCAGGCTCCCTATATAGGCACATAACTCCTCCCATTAATAGCTACACCCACATATACCTTTAACCAATCAATGAGCAGAATATAGACTTGTACATCTAGTCAAACCACATGGCCCATCCAAGACAAAGGAAATAAGTGCAATTTCAGTTCCTGCATTCCTGCACATGCTCAGTACGCTGATGACAGTATCCTAGCTACATGTAGCTAACCAACTGACACAACATACACATATGCCACATGGAGATTTTGGCCTACTAAATTTTAACCATGCTGGAATCCCATCACAATAGGGATTTAGGAAAGAGTGCAGGTAACTTTTTTTGTCAACTTCCATAATCCTGTAAGTGTAATTATTGTAGTTTTTATAATCTATCAGACAGCCACTAGAGGGACTTCCGGCTTCTTAAAACACGAAAAGTATTTTAAACAACGCTGGACGTCCTCAAGCTATGCATGAGGACCTCCAGCGTCGCCGTAATCCCCATAGGAAAGCATTATTCAATGCACGCGCGGCCATTGTTGTGCATGCGCATTAGGTCTCCCCTGCCGGCTGACGTCAGTGCGGGAGGAATGTGGGCGATAAGTCACTGAAGGGGTTTTAAGCAATAGGGGGTGGGGACACTGCAGGATTCTGCAGTGCCAGGAAAACTGATGTTTTCCTGGAACTGGAGAGTCCCTTTAAGTGTCTGGAGTCTGTCATTGTCTTGATTGTTTATAAAAGTGCCAATTTCAACAGAAATGCCTGCCTTCCCCCTTCTCTATGAGCTATGTTGCAACTCGTTCAGAAGAATCGGAAAGCTGTGTTTGTGTGTGAGCGCACACTCACAGCTCCAGCACACACCCTTCTCAATGAGAATCCTTTCATTGGAGTACTCCTGGGTACAGACTACGCTGGGGAAAAGTTTTTTGAAAACTGCTTTTACATACATCACTAAAGAAAGCATGTAGAGACAAATACACACATGTTTTCTTTGGGGAATAACTACTTAATTGTTAAAAATAAAATAAAGCAAAATTCAATAAATTACATGTTACTCCATGTGGCTCTTGCACACTTGCAGGCTGCTAGTACACTTCTAAATATAAAAGGACCCTTGTTGGCTTTGATACGTTGTTGTCTGCTGATATGCAGTTTTCTTTAGAGGACCATACACTTTTTAGTTTTAGGGGTACTTGCCTTCAAGATATCTGTCTGGGAGTGATGAGTGTTACTCACTACATCCTCTCAATGGCTTGGTGGTCCAGATTTGCAGTTAAGGTGCTCCAAGGATCTTTGTTATTCTACTAAGACACTTGCATATTGGCAGGTAATAGGGTAAAAGGCAAAAACACAAAACTCAGGTCACAGGAATTATATATGTTAACCTAACATTATTCCTTTATTTTTAGCAAATGATTAGGTTTACT